CTACGAACCTCTGTTCAACATATTTCACGGTTCTCATAAAATATCGCCGCCGTCGTGATTCAACTTGACTAACACAACGACCTTACACACCGTTTAATGGCTAGCTTGGTCAACGAGGGCGATGGAAACGCCACTGATCCGCATAACAGACTGAGTTCTGTCTAGAAGAAACGCGCATCGCGCAGGGAATGCGGAAATTCGAGGCCTTCGAATGATCTTTGAAACAACGTCGCTGATTACAACTAAATCTGATTGCCTCCAATCACGAGTTTTGAACGCTCAAACCATGAAAGGGCCGTATTAGAACAGAGGTTACGTAGGAAGATATGACAGGAGTAACCTCTGTGGTAAGAGAATATGGCATTATATGATAAAGAGATTATTAATCTCGTGTGTTTCCGTATCTTTAATATCATATATTAGGAATAAAAAAAAGTATTACCCATACTGACTAGGATACACAGGTGATTATTTTTGTGATAATTGCACGTGCTTTTCAGTGATTCTCAACGTTGATTGGACAGCTAAGCAGAGAAGAAATATGATTGGTTGACGGAACCACTTTTCATGATCCACGTTCATTGACAACTTTTACCGTTTCATTGATAATTAGAACGTGCTGTAATCACACATTCCGAGATTTAAAAAACAACAACATAAAGGTTAAAGAATATGAATAATCTTTTTATTAGACGTTATTATTATTTTGCAATAAAATTGCGTTATAAATAGTAGTCTTTTTAAATTATATAATCTTAAAAAAACCACACCAAACAATCGTTTGCATTGTTTGTAAACAAACATGGCCGCCGTTAGGCTAACCCCGATCAAGGTCACTTACCTAGTTAAAGTTGACGGTGACCAAATAGGAAGAGTGATAATAATTTTACAGCCCTTGAATTCCCCAAACCTGTTTGTTGTTAAAAATGAATTCGGGGAAATAGAAACAGCAAGATACCGACTAAAAATGTTATCTGAAAGTGTAACAAGTGAGTCGGACACGGCGTCCATGCCATCGAACCAGAAAACAGCTCCTTTCTTACCGGAATCAGTACTAAATGTTCTTCTTCAAGATGACTTTTTATATCCATGCATTCCTAATCAATCCGAGAGGTTGGTCCCAGTAGCCGATGCAGAGATACACACATTTCATAGACTCGGATTCCGACTAGTGTTATCCTTCTTGGAACTGCTGTACTCTACTAAGACGAGAGTGTAACACGCCTTCCACAGAACAAAATGTTGTTTAATCTTCAAACATGTTGCGTTTCTTCACAGAAAACTTTTTCTAGATGTATTCGTGGGGTGGTTGTCCTTTAGATTTCCCAACTTTTAACCGTTAACTTTCCCCAAAATAGACAGATTTTTGCCAGAGTGTGTTTCAACACTACACCGTCACCCGTCACTAGAAAACACGTCAGTCGTGAATGAACGATGTTCCGTCGCACTGACTTGATCGAATAAATGTTTAGCTGTTATTAAGTTCAATGATATATTTAAAAGATCATTTTTATTATATTAACAAATGTTAATTAATTATTCCAGACATAATAATTTTGTTGTATTTTCAAAGCGATTTTATGATGTACTATTTCCATAGCGTAGTCATGTTATACCGCTGGAGAAGTTAGGATTAATACGCGCATGAATACGAATCAGCTGTTTGAGGTCACAAGTCCTGTCTCCGGGTGGTTTTTATTTCGGGAAGGCTCGCTGGCATGGTTGACATATCTCATCATCATATCCCAGTTGGGGAGATCGATGCTCATGCTGTTGATCACTGGATTGTCTGGTCCAGACTCGATTATTTACAGACCATATAGCTGGAATATTACTGAGTGCAAGATAAAACTAAACTCACTCTCTCACTTAATGCATTGCTGGAGGATTGACATGAGACAACTCTTCGTTGTACAAATCTTTGTTTTACAACTGATAAATAATCCTCCCTATGTCACTGAATACATTTAAGCTACAATACAATTCTTAACACCAGGAGGTCCTAACCTCTTCCTACCCCACACAATACAATCACAAGAAGCTTACACCAGTATTTCATTGTACTGTCTGTGGAATAAGAGGGGCTAACGGCATGTGAGTAACTTATGTGTCACATGATGTCAAATAAGTGGCATATATAGTATTCATGGATGTTTTTTTATGTTTGCAATTTGAGAGTAAAGTTCAGCTTTAAAATGTTGAGTAAAAAGCACTGGAAAGTTTTACAGGAGAACACATGTAGGTTTGTTTTCTTATCCAGTAATATATATGACAAATGCTAAATCATTTCATCACTGTACAACCACTTGACACCCTACTTGAGATATTCAGTTACCATCAGTCCTCAACTGCTTACTATTTCCTGTCTTTAATTCCGGTCAGACACTTCTCTCCCTACATAACGGAAGCTGACCACTTGTCAGCATACATTCATTGTAGGCTGTGTGCCATCAAATTGAACATTATCAACGACCATTCCATGTACATATGATTACAGTCTGACCTTTAAATTAACAATAAAACAATTTCTGGTCAACATGAACCGGCTAACTTTGCGAGCACAGGAAGCCACACACAGGAAGCTAAACACATCAACCCTCCCAGGTCCGCACCAACTGTCACCTACTTGAACATATCTGTACACGCATAAGCATAAGTGATACAAATGACAGCATTAAATACTTAAAATGGTGGTCAGTTTTAATGACTGGATGGAGGTGCTTTTAACAAACATAACACCTTACACTATTTCATCCAATCACAGCTGTCACATGTCTCTTCAGTTACGGCTTAGCGAGCAAGCGATTCTGCTCTTAGTAGTAGTTCTCACAGTAGTGCATAGACAGCGCCCCATTCACGCATATCATATACGGTGGCGCATGAATTTTAACAGCTACAACCGTTTACTGTTCACAGATATGTAAAATAAATACTCAGAACTTCGGAGTTGTTCCTTGTGTGATAGCGTATTTTAAACTGGTTAGTGATTTAACAAATTGCGCTCTCATATTTTAACCTTATAAATAGCAGCTAAATTCCACCTCATTGTGTGATATTAATTCTACGTTGGATTTTGCTGTGTGAACACTCGAGTCGGCAAACTCATAAAAAAATAATCCCAGACCACTAAGGTGAACCTGAAGGTCACACACACCTGGGCCGGAAAGGGGAGGGTGGGGATCAACAATCGATTAGGTCACACAAAGGTCACACCTATGTTACGTCATAAAAACAAAATGGCCGACCAAAAGGTTTATACCCCCCGTATACAACAATTACCCCACCTTCGCCGTAAGGATGAACCTGAAAAACACAAACTGGGGCCAATCGTCGACGTCAAAATACCCTTTCTCTGCCATCGTTGCGGAACAAACAAAATCGACTTTCATCACTAAAAAGCACTCGTTGCCAATTTCGCACTTGCCACCGTAGAACTTGTCTCCCCCAACGCAACTGGTTCTGTCGATGTCGAAGGGCTAAGGCCATGCCGCGGAAGGGACGCCGAGCTCTGATTCCCACTGCTACCAATCTTCTCAACACGGTCCACAGGCTGATGCGTCGACCCAACGCCGTTGCTGCCGCGGATGTAGTGGTCTTCTCGTTCGCTGGTGACACTTCGTGGCCTGTCCTGAGTTCGCCCTTTGTATTGTAGCGCTGGAACAATCTTGAATTTGTCAGGAGAGTGCAGCCGAACGTCCTTGCAATATAGGTTTGTGTGGCCCCTATATTTGCCATACCTATGGCTCTTTCTCTGTGCTCCTGGGTTAAACATGGCATTACTTTAATGTGTTTTGGTTAAGTGACATGGGAACGTGTAAAAACGTCTGCTTTATACCCAAGTTCTGCACATGCATTTTCGCATAGCACTAGAAGACGTGTTTTACTACTTTCTTAAAGCGGTAGCGTTACCGTGATGTCGGTTGTGTTTTGGCTATATGTTTATCACCCTCTACTTTGACACATATCACTATTGTGTAGATTTTCATTTGTGTAATAAAGTTATTTTGTAAAAAACCCAACTTATACTTTCTTTTGCAAGGGAGTTTATGTAGGGCACCACAGACGTATGTAGTCTGTAGATTAACGCTCTGAATGTTATATAGATCATACTTACCATATCAGAATGCTATTACGGAATAAATATGCATGCTTTTTGTTGTAGTAACTGATATTGTGATAAGTACAGTCTTTAGCCATTCTTCGTGAGAACGTTTATTAATGTTTCATAATATCATATCACATACGTGATCTAAATGATAAAAACGGAATTCATCTCTGACAGTCCTATTACAGACAGTATGCGCGAATCTGTGTTTGTTCACATATTTTATTTGTGGGTCAAACACGGGTGGATACAGCATTGGCTGTTCATGAATAGCCGTGGACCTTCCGCAGGAATTATGCATTCTTTGTTCATGCGTAGATGACAATATGTATTCGCAGGTTATACGTAGCCGGATTTGACTACTGTGACGTACCACCTAGGATCTACTCACTAGCGTGTTACATGGCCCGTAACCCAACATTAGGTTTAGTGTTGGACTTCAGCAGCCCCTGTTTGTTGTAAGAGGCGACTAGCGGGATCGGGTGGTCAGACTCGCTGACTTGGTTGACACATGTCATCGTATCCCAATTGTGTAGATCGATGCTCATGCTGTTGATCACTGGATTGTCTGGATTATTTACAGACCGCTGCCGTATAACATGAATATTGCTTGGTGTGGCGTTAAACAACAAGCCAACAAACACAAGCGTGTAACATAGCTTACAAATATACAAGTTATAAATCACACGGGGATTATGAAGACTAGGTGGCACACGTCCACACAAGACCACAAACACAGGCCATCTTTAGGCCACAGGCCATAACATACACATATTTATCAACCATTAGGCTCAGTAGAAGTCAGTTATGCAAAGTCCGTGTTATAAACGCAATGTATATAATAGCATCTACCGCCAGCTTCAGCCAGTCACAATCCAGGTCAAGTCAGGTCTGGTGTATAAGTAACGGGATTCCTCAATTTACAATCATAGCATCTCACTGACGCTCTTCACACGAAGGTGAGACGGTGATGACAGTGACACCCGCACATCAACATCGTCTACAGCGAAATGGTGAGTACTGGGGTTGCCCATTGATAACTTTTAGGTGGATGTGTATGGTGATATGAAAACGTACAACTTTGGCTGGTAATCGCTTCAGGTTTATGGCATCAGCATCGTAGACGTGGGACACAACGACGTTGAGTCATGTTACAAAATCCTGAAGGGGCGATGGTGTAGCCTAGTTGTTAAAAGCGACCGCCCGTCACGCGGAAGACCCGGGTTCGATTCCCTACATGGGTACAAAGTGTGAAGGCCATGTCCCTCGTCGTGATTTTGCTGGAATATTGCTAAAAGCAGCGTAAAACTAAACTCACTCACTCACTCACTCACCCACCCACTCACCCTTCAACTACGACACAAAGGTATTTGATTATATCTTTGGTTAACGAGTAGAATCTGTTTCACGTACACAAAACATAACACAACGCCATTGTCACCAGACGATGAAATGCTCTGTTTACATGCTGCACTGTGTTATACTGTTGACATTTAGCATGGTTGTATGTATGTTCCGTAAGTAGACAATTATTGAATTAGGTAATTATTGAATACATATATCATATTTTCATAATTGCGAGACAATGGCTATTCTGGTTGTAATGGGGTTCTATCGGACTGAACATTAACACCCTTTCACTGCACACTGGGAATGGTTTCAATAGATTGCGTTTTGATGTTATCGCTTAGACAATGCGAGGTAAAGTATGTTTTACGTCACTGGTTTGTCTCGAATGCCAAAAAGAATACGGAACCGAACGTGGGAAAATGTATCTCCCCAGTACTCCGTGTCTGTCTCCCCTGGTGATTTCAGTCGATTTATATCCCCAGTACCAAATGTTCGTCTTCCCGGTTATTCGAGTCGATATACCCCCAGTACCAAATGTTTGTCTCCCCCGTTATTCGAGTCGATATACCCCCAGTACCAGCTGTTTGTCTCCCTTGTTATTCGCGTCGATATACCCCCAGTACCAAATGTTTGTCTCCCCCTTTATTCGAGTCGATATACCCCCAGTACCAAATGTTTGTCTCCCTTGTTATTCGAGTCGATATACCCCCAGTACCATATGCTTGTCTCCCCCGTTATTCGAGTCGATATACCCCCAGTACCAAATGTTTGTCTCCCCCCTAATTCGAGTCGATATACCCCCGGTACCAAATGCTTGTCTCCCCCGTTATTCGAGTCGATATACCCCCAGTACCAAATGCTTGTCTCCCCTGTTATTCGAGTCGATATGACCTCAGTACCAAATGCTTGTCTCCCCTGTTATTGAAGTCGGTATGTCCCCAGTACCAAATGTTTGTCTTCCCTGTTATTCGAGTCGATATGTCCTCAGTACCATATGCATGTTTACCCTGTTATTCAATTCGATATGTCCCCAGGTCCAAATGCTTGTCTCCCCTGTTATTCAAGTCGATATGTCCTCAGTACCAAATGCTTGTCTCCCCTGTTATTCAAGTTGATATTCCCCCAGTACCAAATGCTTGTCTCCCCTGTTATTCAAGTCGATATTCCCCCAGTACCAAATGCTTGTCTTCCCTGTTATTCAAGTCGATATTCCCCCAGTACCAAATTCTTGTCTCCCCTGTTATTCAAGTGGATATTCCCCCAGTACCAAATGCTTGTCTCCCCTGTTATTCAAGTCGATATTCCCCCAGTACCAAATGCTTGTCTCCCCTGTTATTCGAGTCGATATGTCCCCAGTACCAAATGCTTGTCTCCTCTGTTATTCGAGTCGATATGTCCTCAGTACCAAATGCTTGTCTCCCCTGTTAATCGAGTCGATATGTCCCCAGTACCAAATGCTTGTCTCCCCTGTTATTCGAGTCGATATGTCCCCAGTACCAAATGCTTGTCTCCCCTGTTAATCGAGTCGATATGTCCCCAGTACCAAATGCTTGTCTCCTCTGTTAATCGAGTCGGTATGTCCTCAGTGCCAAATGCTTGTCTCCTGTTATTCGGGTCGATATGTTCCCAGTACCAAATGTTTGTCTCCTGTTATTCGAGTCGATGTCCCCAGTACCAAATGCTTGTCTCCCTGTTATTCGAGTCGATATGTCCCCAGTACCAAATGCTTGTCTCCTCTGTTAATCGAGTCGATATGTCCCCAGTACCAAATGCTTGTCTCCTCTGTGAATCGAGTCGGTATGTCCTCAGTACCAAATGCTTGTCTCCCCTGTTATTCGGGTCGATATGTTCCCAGTACCAAATGTTTGTCTCCCCTGTTATTCGAGTCGATATGTCCCCAGTACCAAATGCTTGTCTCCCCTGTTATTCGAGTTGATATGTCCCCAGTACCAAATGCTTGTCTCCCCTGTTATTCGAGTCGATATGTCCCCAGTACCAAATGCTTGTCTCCTCTGTTAATCGAGTCGATATGTCCCCAGTACCAAATGCTTGTCTCCCCTGTTATTCGAGTCGATATGTCCCCGGTACCAAATGCTTGTCTCCCCTGTTATTCGAGTCGATATGTCCCCAGTACCAAATGCTTGTCTCCCCTGTTATTCGAATCGATATGTCCCCAGTACCAAATGCTTGTCTCCCCTGTTATTCGAGTCGATATGTCCCCAGTACCAAATGCTTGTCTCCTCTGTTAATCGAGTCGATATGTCCTCAGTACCAAATGCTTGTCGACCCTGTTATTCGGGTCGATATGTTCCCAGTACCAAATGTTTGTCTCCCCTGTTATTCGAGTCGATATGTCCCCAGTACCAAATGCTTGTCTCCCCTGTTATTCGAGTTGATATGTCCCCAGTACCAAATGCTTGTCTCCCCTGTTATTCGGGTCGATATGTCCCCAGTACCAAATGCTTGTCTCCCCTGTTATTCGAGTCGATATGTCCCCGGTACCAAATGCTTGTCTCCCCTGTTATTCGAGTCGATATGTCCCCAGTACCAAATGCTTGTCTCCCCTGTTATTCGAGTCGATAATCCCCAGTACCAAATGCTTGTCTCCTCTGTTAATCGAGTCGATATGTCCTCAGTACCGAATGCTTGTCTCCCCTGTTATTCGAGTCGATATGTCCCCAGTACCAAGTGCTTGTCTCCCCTGTTATTCGAGTCGATATGTCCCCAGTACCAAGTGCTTGTCTCCCCTGTTATTCGAGTCGATATGTCCTCAGTACCAATGCTTGTCTCCCCTGTTATTCGGGTCGATATGTTCCCAGTACCAAATGTTTGTCTCCCCTGTTATTCGAGTCGATATGTCCCCAGTACCAAATGCTTGTCTCCTCTGTTAATCGAGTCGATATGTCCCCAGTACCAAATGCTTGTCTCCCCTGTTATTCGAGTCGATATGTCCCCGGTACCAAATGCTTGTCTCCTGTTATTCGAGTCGATATGTCCCCGGTACCAATGCTTGTCTCCCCTGTTATTCGAGTCGATATGTCCCTGAGTACCAAATGCTTGTCTCCCCTGTTATTCGAATCGATATGTCCCAAGTACCAAATGCTTGTCTCCCCTGTTATTCGAGTCGATATGTCCCCAGTACCAAATGCTTGTCTCCTCTGTTAATCGAGTCGATATGTCCTCAGTACCAAATGCTTGTCGACCCTGTTATTCGGGTCGATATGTTCCCAGTACCAAATGTTTGTCTCCCCTGTTATTCGAGTCGATATGTCCCCAGTACCAAATGCTTGTCTCCCCTGTTATTCGAGTTGATATGTCCCCAGTACCAAATGCTTGTCTCCCCTGTTATTCGGGTCGATATGTCCCCAGTACCAAATGCTTGTCTCCCCTGTTATTCGAGTCGATATGTCCCCTGTACCAAATGCTTGTCTCCCCTGTTATTCGAGTCGATATGTCCCCAGTACCAAATGCTTGTCTCCCCTGTTATTCGAGTCGATATGTCCCCAGTACCAAATGCTTGTCTCCTCTGTTAATCGAGTCGATATGTCCTCAGTACCGAATGCTTGTCTCCCCTGTTATTCGAGTCGATATGTCCCCAGTACCAAGTGCTTGTCTCCCTGTTATTCGAGTCGATATGTCCCCAGTACCAAATGCTTGTCTCCCTGTTATTCGAGTCGATATGTCCTCAGTACCAATGCTTGTCTCCCCTGTTATTCGGGTCGATATGTTCCCAGTACCAAATGTTTGTCTCCCTGTTATTCGAGTCGATATGTCCCCAGGTACCAAATGCTTGTCTCCTGTTATTCGAGTTGATATGTCCCCAGTACCAAATGCTTGTCTCCCTGTTATTCGAGTCGATATGTCCCCAGTACCAAATGCTTGTCTCCTGTTATTCGAGTCGATATGTCCCCAGTACCAAATGCTTGTCTCCCCCTGTTATTCGGGTCGATATGTCCCCAGTACCAAATGCTTGTCTCCTTTTAATCGAGTCGATATGTCCTCAGTACCAAATGCTTGTCTCCTGTTATTCGAGTCGATATGTCCCCAGTAACAAATGCTTGTCTCCCCTGTTATTCGAGTCGATATGTCCCCGGTACCAAATGCTTGTCTCCTGTTATTCGAGTCGATATGTCCCCAGTACCAAATGCTTGTCTCCCCTGTTATTCGAGTCGATATGTGTCCAGTACCAAATGCTTGTCTCCTCTTTTAATCGAGTCGATATGTCCTCAGTACCAAATGCTTGCTCCCCTGTTATTCGAGTCGATATGTCCCCAGTACCAAAGTGCTTGTCTCCCCTGTTATTCGAGTCGATGTCCCCAGTACCAAGTGCTTGTCTCCTGTTATTCGAGTCGATATGTCCTCAGTACCAATGCTTGTCTCCCCTGTTATTCGAGTCGATATGTCCCCAGTACCAAATGCTTGTCGCCCTGTTATTCGGTCGATATGTTCCAGTACCAAATGCTTGTCTCCTGTTATTCGAGTCGATATGTCCCCAGTACCAAATGCTTGTCTCCTGTTATTCGAGTCGATATGTCCTTCAGTACCAAATGCTTGTCTCCTGTTAATCGAGTCGATATGTCCCCAGTACCAAATGCTTGTCTCCTGTTAATCGAGTCGATATGTCCCCAGTACCAAATGCTTGTCTCCCCTGTTATTCGAGTCGATATGTCCCCAGTACCAAATGCTTGTCTCCTCTGTTAATCGAGTCGATATGTCCCCAGTACCAAATGCTTGTCTCCTCTGTTAATCGAGTCGGTATGTCCTCAGTACCAAATGCTTGTCTCCCCTGTTATTCGGGTCGATATGTTCCCAGTACCAAATGTTTGTCTCCCCTGTTATTCGAGTCGATATGTCCCCAGTACCAAATGCTTGTCTCCCTGTTATTCGAGTCGATGTGTCCCCAGTACCAAATGCTTCTCTCTCTGTTAATCGAGTCGATATGTCCCCAGTACCAAATGCTTGTCTCCTCTGTGAATCGAGTCGGTATGTCCTCAGTGCCAAATGCTTGTCTCCTCCTGTTATTCGGGTCGATATGTTCCCAGTACCAAATGTTTGTCTCCTGTTATTCGAGTCGATATGTCCCCAGTACCAAATGCTTGTCTCCTGTTATTCGAGTTGATATGTCCCCAGTACCAAATGCTTGTCTCCTGTTATTCGAGTCGATATGTCCCCAGTACCAAATGCTTGTCTCCTCTGTTAATCGAGTCGATATGTCCCCAGTACCAAATGCTTGTCTCTGTTATTCGAGTCGATATGTCCTCGGTACCAAATGCTTGTCTCCCCTGTTATTCGAGTCGATATGTCCCCAGTACCAAATGCTTGTCTCCCTGTTATTCGAATCGATATGTCCCCAGTACCAAAATGCTTGTCTCCTGTTATTCGAGAGTCGATATGTCCCCAGTACCAAATGCTTGTCTCCTCTGTTAATCGAGTCGATATGTCCTCAGTACCAAATGCTTGTCGACCCTGTTATTCGGGTCGATATGTTCCCAGTACCAAATGTTTGTCTCCTGTTATTCGAGTCGATATGTCCCCAGGTACCAAATGCTTGTCTCCCCTGTTATTCGAGTTGATATGTCCCCAGTACTCAAATGCTTGTCTCCCCTGTTATTCGGGTCGATATGTCCCCAGTACCAAATGCTTGTATCCCCTGTTATTCGAGTCGATATGTGTCGGTACCAAATGCTTGTCTCCCCTGTTATTCGAGTCGATATGTCCCCAGTACCAAATGCTTGTCTACCCTGTTATTCGAGTCGATATGTCCCCAGTACCAAATGCTTGTCTCCTCTGTTAATCGAGTCGATATGTCCTCGGTACCGAATGCTTGTCTCCTGTTATTCGAGTCGATATGTCCCCAGTACCAAGTGCTTGTCTCCCTGTTATTCGAGTCGATATGTCCCCAGTACCAAATGCTTGTCTCCCTGTTATTCGGAGTCGATATGTCCTCAGGTACCAATGCTTGTCTCCCTGTTATTCGGGTCGATATGTTCCTCCCGGTACCAAATGTTTGTCTCCCTGTTATTCGAGTCGATATGTCCCCAGTACCAAAATGCTTGTCTCCTCTGTTAATCGAGTCGATATGTCCACAGTACCAAATGCTTGTCTCCTGTTATTCGAGTCGATATGTCCCCGGTGCCAAATGCTTGTCTCCTGTTATTCGAGTCGATATGTCCCCAGTACCAAATGCTTGTCTCCCCTGTTATTTCGAATCGATATGTCCCAAGTACCAAATGCTTGTCTCCCCTGTTATTCGAGTCGATATGTCCCCAGTACCAAATGCTTGTCTCCTCTGTTAATCGAGTCGATATGTCCTCAGTACCAAATGCTTGTCGACCCTGTTATTCGGGTCGATATGTCCCAGGTACCAAATGTTTGTCTCCCTGTTATTCGAGTCGATATGTCCCAGTACCAAATGCTTGTCTCCCCTGTTATTCGAGTTGATATGTCCCCAGTACCAAATGCTTGTCTCCCTGTTATTCGGGTCGATATGTCCCAGTACCAAATGCTTGTCTCCCCTGTTATTCGAGTCGATATGTCCCGGTACCAAATGCTTGTCTCCCTGTTATTCGAGTCGATATGTCCCCAGTACCAAATGCTTGTCTCCCCTGTTATTCGAGTCGATATGTCCCCAGTACCAAATGCTTGTCTCCTCTGTTAATCGAGTCGATATGTCCTCAGTACCGAATGCTTGTCTCCCCTGTTATTCGAGTCGATATGTCCCCAGTACCAAGTGCTTGTCTCCCCTGTTATTCGAGTCGATATGTCCCCAGTACCAAGTGCTTGTCTCCCCTGTTATTCGAGTCGATATGTCCTCAGTACCAATGCTTGTCTCCCCTGTTATTCGGGTCGATATGTTCCCAGTACCAAATGTTTGTCTCCCCTGTTATTCGAGTCGATATGTCCCCAGTACCAAATGCTTGTCTCCCCTGTTATTCGAGTTGATATGTCCCCAGTACCAAATGCTTGTCTCCCCTGTTATTCGAGTCGATATGTCCCCAGTACCAAATGCTTGTCTCCCCTGTTATTCGAGTCGATATGTCCCCAGTACCAAATGCTTGTCTCCCCTGTTATTCGGGTCGATATGTCCCCAGTACCAAATGCTTGTCTCCTCTTTTAATCGAGTCGATATGTCCTCAGTACCAAATGCTTGTCTCCCCTGTTATTCGAGTCGATATGTCCCCAGTACCAAGTGCTTGTCTCCCCTGTTATTCGAGTCGATATGTCCCCGGTACCAAATGCTTGTCTCCTGTTATTCGAGTCGATATGTCCCCAGTACCAAATGCTTGTCTCCCTGTTATTCGAGTCGATATGTCCCCAGTACCAAATGCTTGTCTCCTCTTTTAATCGAGTCGATATGTCCTCAGTACCAAATGCTTGTCTCCCCTGTTATTCGAGTCGATATGTCCCCAGTACCAAGTGCTTGTCTCCCCTGTTATTCGAGTCGATATGTCCCCAGTACCAAGTGCTTGTCTCCCCTGTTATTCGAGTCGATATGTCCTCAGTACCAATGCTTGTCTCCCCTGTTATTCGAGTCGATATGTCCCCAGTACCAAATGCTTGTCGCCCCTGTTATTCGGGTCGATATGTTCCCAGTACCAAATGCTTGTCTCCCCTGTTATTCGAGTCGATATGTCCCCAGTACCAAATGCTTGTCTCCCCTGTTATTCGAGTTGATATGTCCCCAGTACCAAATGCTTGTCTCCCCTGTTATTCGAGTCGATATGTACTCAGTACCAAATGCTTGTCTCCCCTGTTATTCGAGTCGATATGTCCCCAGTACCAAATGCTTGTCTCCCCTGTTATTCGAGTCGATATGTCCCCAGTACCAAATGCTTGTCTCCCCTGTTATTCGGGTCGATATGTCCCCAGTACCAAATGCTTGTCTCCTCTTTTAATCGAGTCGATATGTCCTCAGTACCAAATGCTTGTCTCCCCTGTTATTCGAGTCGATATGTCCCCAGTACCAAGTGCTTGTCTCCCCTGTTATTCGAGTCGATATGTCCTCAGTACCAATGCTTGTCTCCCCTGTTATTCGAGTCGATATGTCCCCAGTACCAAATGCTTGTCTCCTCTGTTAATCGAGTCGATATGTCCCCAGTACCAAATGCTTGTCTCCCCTGTTATTTGAGCCGGTATGTCCCCAGTATCAAATGCTTGTCTACCCTGATACAGCTTTTTGTGTGTGCGTGTGTGTGTGTGTGTACGTGCCTGCGAGGCGTGCGTTCGGATGCAGTCAGGGGGCGGATACAGCTTTCTGAGAAGGGATGTGGGGTGCACCACATTATCACGTAAGTTTCAATGGCCATTTAATAAACTTACAGGACAAAAGGGTCCTGCAAGGGTGCGCACCTTCCGCCTATGCACGTAGGTCAAAAAAGTGCATATTCTACGCAGATACGCAGCTTGTCTTAAGCCTTTTGTTCATTATTCAGTTGGTCGTTTGGCAATGATTTTAATGTGGCTGGCAAAGATGTTCTTAAAATTCAGCCATTGCGTTTCCTTTCAGCGTGAGTGTGTCAGTATACATATCGGCCAGGCTGGAGTCCAGATCGGAAATGCATGCTGGGAGTTGTACTGTCTGGAGCACGGCATCCAGCCCGACGGTCGGATGTCCTCGGATAAGACCATCGGGGGTGGGGACGACTCCTTCAACACCTTCTTCAGCGAGACGGGGTCGGGGAAACGCGTGCCCAGGGCAGTCTTTATCGACGCTGACAGTTCTGTTAGTGAGTTGCTGGTAGCCAAATTATTTGAATTATTATAATACCATTCAAAGCACTTGAAGTCTCGTATGTCTGCAGCGCAAACACGGTTCTTGTGAGGTTGGCCGATATAATTGTTTGACACAAACCATAATAGTAATTCCTGTGGGGACTTACTTTCATAAAACAGCATTTTAACTGAAAATTCACATGCATCAGTTGCGGATCCACAAGTTTGGAGAAGGGGGAGTGCACATAAATCATGAAGTCCACAGGTTAGGGGTAATCCACTTCAGGGAAATTTTTTCGGGGAGTAAGGGGTGGGGGGACATCCTTGCAGCCCCCCTCTGGATCAGCCACTGTGCTTTGATTTTACTGGAGTTACTTCCCATGTAACTGCAACCTCCTGACCACAATACAAAAATACAGACATGAATAAATAAAATACATAACATACATAAGACAATATAAAAAAACAAACTTATATGTATTCCGCCAAAAGCGGAAATCCTTTGAAAAAAATACCTCTCGGGTCTTAAGTCTTGACTTTCAGTGAATACCGAATACTGAATGTGAGTGAGTGAGTTTAGTTTTACGCCGCACTCAGCAATATTCCAGCGATATGGCGGCGGTCTGTAAATAATAGAGTCTGGGCCAGACAATCCAGGGATCAACAGCATGAGCATCGATCTACGCAATTGGTAAACGATGACATGTGTCAACCAAGTCAGCGAATCTGACCACCCGATCCCGTAAGTCGCCTCTTACGACAAGCAAGGAGTTACTGAAGATCAATTCTAACCGGGATCTTCACGGATCGAATACCATTATGTGGGTATCATATTCAGAGTATTTTAGGGTATAATGTCCCACAGTGAGAAGACAATCTCATGAGTTACTGTCTGTTTGGGGATCTCGGAATTGAAAGGGATTTTACTATTCTATAGAAGCGTTCTTCAAAGAGAGACAGATGTAGAATTGTGAGAATTTACGCCTTTAGTATTGTTGATATATACAGTGCATTTTCATTGTACTTTTAGTATTTGTTTTGTTGTTTGTTTAACGCCGCACTCAGCAATATCCCAGATATATGGTGGCGACCTGTAAATATTCGAGTCTTGCCCAGACAATGATCAACAGCATGAGCATCGATCTACGCACATTGGGATACGATGACATGTGTCAACCACGTCAGGGATCCTGACCACCCGATCCCGTTAATGTCCTCTTACGACAAGCATTGGTTGCTGAAGACCTATTCTAACCCGGATCTTCACGGGTCGTTACGTGTTAAGTATTTCTTTATATAAAACAATACGATTTCAGTGTACTTGTAAAACTAACTACTATATGTTACAGGTGCTATCAGGAACGGACCTTATCGGCAACTGTTCGACGACGAACTCTTAGTATCCGGTAAGAAAAGCTCCGTCCTCTACTGCAAGGGCTACAAAACTCAATCCAGTGACCTTCTCTCTCGTTCTCTTGACCGGATCAAGAAAGCGACTGACCAATGTAGCAACCTCCAGGGCTTCCTAATATTCCACGGCGTCGGCGGCGGCACGGGCTCTGGCTTCACGTCCCTGTTGATGGAGAAACTGTCTGATATCTACGGCGACAAAATGAAGCTGGCATTCTCCGTGTACCCAACGCCCCAGCTGTCTGACGAAGTCGTTGATCCCTACAACGCCGTGCTGTCCACCCACTTCCTTCTCCAACAATCCGACTCCGTCTTTGTGATCGACAACGAGGCTCTATACAACATCAGCCATAACCTTATCACTGAACGTCCCACATTCGCCAACCTGAACAACGTGATTGCTCAGATGGCCAGTTCCGTCACTCTCCCTCTCCGATCCGAAGGAGCCCTGAACGTGGATCTGAAAGAGATTCAAACCAACCTTGTTCCCCATCCACGAATCAAGTTCCCTGTGGCTAGTTATGCGCCCATTATTAAAAAAGGCGGTGTTGGAACGCCGTCAGTTTCCGACATGACAAACGCCTGTTTTAATCCCAACAACCAGATGGTTAGATGTGATCCGAGTCGCGCCACCTTCATGGCTTGCTGTCTCCAATACCGCGGAAACATCGACCCCAAAGATGTAAACAACGCTATACGGTCTCTCAACGCCAAAGAGACAGCCAAGTTCGCCGACTGGTGTCCTAGAAACTTCAAGGTCGGAATCCACGCGCAGGCGCCATCTGCTTCCGCCGGAAGTGACCTTGCCGAGGTAGAGAGAGCTGTTTGCATGCTCAGCAACAACACAGGTGTTGCTAAGGTATGGGGTCGTCTCAGCCGCAAGTTTGATTTGATGTATGCCAAGCGAGCTTACCTCCATTTCTACGAACGTGAGGGAATGGACATGAAACAGTTTGACGAGGCTCGTGAAGACTTGGCCTCCCTGGAGGATGATTACAAGAAAATTGATGCGGGTTCATTTGACGCTACGTCATAAACTAAAACGCTGGGAGGTTTGAATAACATCATGAAAATAGATCACGGGGTGTTTAGTATCTTACAGATTGCTGATGAAACTATACCAAACACCCTACAAATATATTGTTTAGAAAACATGTTCTGTTAAAGAGTAGGAACGAATAACTTGAAATTCCTCGGGTAATGAGTTGCCTCAACTAGCTGTGTCCTGTCTCTTGGTGTTTATATACGAATGCTCTCTGTAAAAATTATTCATATGAATAAATATGTGTTGTTGAAACTCAAAAACTTTCTTCTTTAGTCTTTGCTGCTTATTAGTTGGGTTTAAAACCACTTTGAACTATTATTGCAAGAGGACAGTCCCGAAGACGTAATTTATTTTCATGAAATTTCGAAACGTCAGCCTCTGAACTTATGCGCTAAACACGGATGCCTTTACATAGGATGTCAATAACATGAAACGGGACTACACCTTGGTCATCTGGCGGGCCCATGAATATTAATTAAGGTCAATACAAATCATCATCAGGTTACCAGACATTAACTGTGTATAAGTGATAAACTGTTGATAGCTGTCGAACGAATGTTGAGACAGACGTGATTTCTTCTATGCGGCGTGATCGATATGTTGGTCTCCCGATCTGAGAATTGCGCTGCAAGTTCCAATGGTGATGTGCTGACTGTTAAATATATAGTGTTGGTCTAGGAGAGATGGATTACACAAAGGTTATCTGGTCGAACAGTCAAGCTGATACAAGATGAATGATAAAAAAGTCAGACAGTCGTATGTGATACGAGCATGGTGGTCAAGTGTGTGATGACACAGTCCGATATGTGATACCAGCATGGTGGTCAAGTATTGGACACACAGTCATATATGTGATACAAGCATGATGGTCAAGTATTGATCTATGTGATATGAGCATGATGGTCAAGTATTGATCTATGTGATATGAGCATGATGGTCAAGTATTGATCTATGTGATACAAGCATGATGGTCAAGTATTGATGGACAGACAGTCATATATGTGATACGAGCATGATGGTCAAGTATTGATCTATGTGATACGAGCATGATGGTCAAGTATTGATCTATGTGATACAAGCATGATGGTCAAGTATTGATCTATGTGATACAAGCATGATGGTCAAGTATTGATAAGCAGACAGTCATATATGTGATACGAGCATGATGGTCAAGTATTGATAGGCAGACAGTCATATATGTGATAGGAGCATGATGGTCAAGTATTGATGGACAGACAGTCCGATATGTGATACAAGCATGATGGTCAAGTATTGATCTATGTGATACAAGTATGATGGTCAAGTATTGATCTATGTGATATGAGCATGATGGTCAAGTATTGATCTATGTGATACAAGCATGATGGTCAAGTATTGATCTATGTGATATGAGCATGATGGTCAAGTATTGATCTATGTCATACAAGCATGATGGTCAAGTATTGATGGACAGACAGTCATATATGTGATACGAGCATTATGGTCAAGTATTGATCTATGTGATACGAGCATGATGGTCAAGTATTGATCTATGTGATACAAGCATGATGGTCAAGTATTGATAGGCAGACAGTCATATATGTGATACGAGCATGATGGTCAAGTATTGATAGGCAGACAGTCATATATGTGATACGAGCATGATGGTCAAGTATTGATGGACAGACAGTCCGATATGTGATACAAGCATGATGGTCAAGTATTGATCTATGTGATACAAGCATGATGGTCAAGTATTGATGGACAGACAGTCAGATATGTGATACGAGCATGATGGTCAAGTATTGATCTATGTGATACAAGCATGATGGTCAAGTATTGGACACACAGTCAGATGTGATACGAGCATGATGGTCAAGTATTGATAGACAGACAGTCAGATATGTGATACGAGCATGATGGTCAAGTATTGATCAGACAGTCCAGATGTGATACAAGCATGATGGTCAAGTATTGGACACACAGTCAGATGTGATACGAGCATGATGGTCAAGTATTGATGGGCAGACAGTCAGATATGTGATACGAGCATGATGGTCAAGTATTGATCTATGTGATACAAGCATGATGGTCAAGTATTGGACACACAGTCAGATGTGATACGAGCATGATGGTCAAGCATTGATAGGCAGACAGTCAGATATGTGATACGAGCATGATGGTCAAGTATTGATCTATGTGATACAAGATGGTCAAGTATTGGACACACAGTCATGATGGATACAAGCATTGATGATGGTCAAGCATGATGGTCAAACATTCATATATGTGATACGAGCATGATGGTCAAGTATTGACACACAGTACAAGATGTGATACGAAGCATGATGGATCAAGACAGTGATATATGTGATACAAGCATGATGGTCAAGTATTGATCTATGTGATACGCGAGCATGATGGTCAAGCATTGATCTATGTGATACGCACGATGGTCAAGTATTGATAGGCAGACAGTCATATATGTGATACCGAGCATGATGGTCAAGTATTGATAGGCAGACAGTCATATATGTGATACAAGCATGATGGTCAAGTATTGATCTATGTGATACAAGCATGATGGTCAAGTATTGATAGGCAGACAGTCATATATGTGATACAAGCATGATGGTCAAGTATTGATCTATGTGATACAAGCATGATGGTCAAGCATTGATCGGATGCAGACAGTCAGATATATGTGATACGAGCATCCACATGATGATACGAAGCATGATGGTCAATATTGATCCATGATACGAGCATGATGGTCAAGCATTGATCTGCATGTGATATGAGCATGATGGTCAAGTATTGATCTATGTGATACAAGCATGATGGTCAAGTATTGATCGATGTGATATGAGCATGATGGTCAAGTATTGATCTATGTCATACAAGCATGATGGTCAAGTATTGGACACACAGTCAGATGTGATACGAGCATGATGGTCAAGTATTGATGGACAGACAGTCAGATATGTGATACGAGCATGATGGTCAAGTATTTATCTATGTGATACAAGCATGATGGTCAAGTATTGGACACACAGTCAGATGTGATACGAGCATGATGGTCAAGTATTGATAGGCAGACAGTCAGATATGTGATACGAGCATGATGGTCAAGTATTGATAGGCAGACAGTCAGATATGTGATACGAGCATGATGGTCAAGCATTGATCTATGTGAAACAAGCATGATGGTCAAGTATTGGACACACAGTCAGATGTGATACGAGCATGATGGTCAAGTATTGATAGGCAGACAGTCAGATATGTGATACGAGCATGATGGTCAAGTATTGATCTATGTGATACAAGCATGATGGTCAAGTATTGGACACACAGTCAGATGTGATACGAGCATGATGGTCAAGTATTGATAGGCAGACAGTCAGATATGTGATACGAGCATGATGGTCAAGTATTGATCTATGTGATACAAGCATGATGGTCAAGTATTGGACACACAGTCAGATGTGATACAAGCATGATGGTCAAGTATTGATGGACAGACAGTCATATATGTGATACGAGCATGATGGTCAAGTATTGATCTATGTGATACAAGCATGATGGTTAAGTATTGATCTATGTGATACAAGCATGATGGTCAAGTTTTGATAGGCAGACAGTCATATATGTGATACGAGCATGATGGTCAAGTATTTATAGGCAGACAGTCATATATGTGATACGAGCATGATGGTCAAGTATTGATCTATGTGATACAAGCATGATGGTCAAGTATTGATCTATGTGATACAAGCATGATGGTCAAGTATTGGACACACAGTCAGATGTGATACAAGCATGATGGTCAAGTATTGATAGGCAGACAGTCATATATGTGATACAAGCATGATGGTCAAGTATTGAACTATGTGATACGAGCATGATGGTCAAGTATTGATCTATGTGATACAAGCATGATGGTCAAGTATTGATCTATGTTATACAAGCATGATGGTCAAGTATTGATAGGCAGACAGTCATATATGTGATACGAGCATGATGGTCAAGTATTGATAGGCAGACAGTCATATATGTGATACGAGCATGATGGTCAAGTATTGATCTATGTGATACAAGCATGATGGTCAAGTATTGATCTATGTGATACAAGCATGATGGTCAAGTATTGATAGGCAGACAGTCATATATGTGATACGAGCATGATGGTCAAGTATTGATAGGCAGACAGTCACATATGTGATACGAGCATGATGGTCAAGTATTGATCTATGTGATACAAGCATGATGGTCAAGTATTGATCTATGTGATACAAGCATGATGGTCAAGTATTGGACACACAGTCAGATGTGATACAAGCATGATGGTCAAGTATTGATGGACAGACAGTCATATATGTGATACAAGCATGATGGTCAAGTATTGATCTATGTGATACGAGCATGATGGTCAAGTATTGATCTATGTGATACAAGCATGATGGTCAAGTATTGGACACACAGTCAGATGTGATACAAGCATGATGGTCAAGTATTGATGATGTCATATATGTGATACAAGCATGACGATTGTGGTCAATATTGATACGAGACATGATGGTCAAGTATGATGGACACACAGTCAGATATGATACAAGCATGATGGTCAAGTATTGATGGACAGACAGTCATATGTGATACAAGCATGATGGTCAAGTATTGGACACACAGTCAGATGTGATACGAGCATGATGGTCAAGTATTGATCTATGTGATACAAGCATGATGGTCAAGTATTGATCTATGTGATACAAGCATGATGGTCAAGTATTGATCTATGTGATACAAGCATGATGGTCAAGTATTGATAGGCAGACAGTCATATATGTGATACGAGCATGATGGTCAAGTATTGAGTCATATATGTGATACGAGCATGATGGTCAAGTATTGATCTATGTGATACAAGCATGATGGTCAAGTATTGATCTATGTGATACAAGCATGATGGTCAAGTATTGATAGGCAGACAGTCATATATGTGAAACGAGCATGATGGTCAAGTATTGATAGGCAGACAGTCACATATGTGATACGAGCATGATGGTCAAGTATTGATCTATGTGATACAAGCATGATGGTCAAGTATTGATCTATGTGATACAAGCATGATGGTCAAGTATTGATAGGCAGACAGTCATATATGTGATACGAGCATGATGGTCAAGTATTGATACAGACAGTCATATATGTGATACGAGCATGATGGTCAAGTATTGATCTATGTGATACAAGCATGATGGTCAAGTATTGATATATGTGATACAAGCATGATGGTCAAGTATTGATGTATGTGATACAAGCATGATGGTCAAGTATTCATCTATGTGATACAAGCATGATGGTAAGTATTGATCTATGTGATACAAGCATGATGGTCAAGTATTGATCTATGTGATACAAGCATGATGGTCAAGTATTGATGGACAGACAGTCATATATGTGATACAAGCATGATGGTCAAGTATTGGACACACAGTCAGATTTGATACAAGCATGATGGTCAAGTATTGATCTATGTGATACAATCATGATGGTCAAGTATTGATCTATGTGATACAAGCATGATGGTCAAGTATTGATAGGCAGACAGTCAGATATGTGATACGAGCATGATGGTCAAATATTGATAGGCAGACAGTCAGATCTGTGATACGAGCATGATGGTCAAATATTGATAGGCAGACAGTCATATATGTGATACGAGCATGATGGTCAAGTATTGATAGGCAGACAGTCATATATGTGATACAAGCATGATGGTCAAGTATTGATCTATGTGATACAAGCATGATGGTCAAATATTGATAGGCAGACAGTCAGATATGTGATACGAGCATGATGGTCAAATATTGATAGGCAGACAGTCAGATATGTGACACGAGCATGATGGTCAAATATTGATAGGCAGACAGTCATATATGTGATACGAGCATGATGGTCAAGTATTGATCTATGTGATACAAGCATGATGGTCAAATATTGATAGGCAGACAGTCAGATATGTGACACGGGCATGATGGTCAAGTATTGATAGGCAGACAGTCATATATGTGATACGAGCATGATGGTCAAGTATTGATCTATGTGATACAAGCATGATGGTCAAGTATTGATCTATGTGATACAAGCATGATAGTCAAGTATTGGACACACAGTCAGATGTGATACGAGCATGATGGTCAACTATTGATGGACACAGTCATATATGTGATACAAGCATGATGGTCAAGTATTGATGTATGTGATACAAGCATGATGGTCAAGTATTGATCTATGTGATACAAGCATGATGGTCAAGTATTGATGGACACACAGTCAGATGTGTGATACGAGCATGATGGTCAACTATTGATGAGTCATATATGTGATACAAGCATGATGGTCAAGTATTGATTATGTGATACAAGCATGATGGTCAAGTATTGATCTATGTGATACAAGCATGATGGTCAAGTAATGATGGACAGACAGTCAGATGTGTGATACGAGCATGATGGTCAAGTATTGATCTATGTCATACAAGCATGATGGTCAAGTATTGGACACACAGTCAGATGTGATACAATCATGATGGTCAAGTATTGATCTATGTGATACAAGCATGATGGTCAAGTATTGGACACACAGTCAGATGTGATACGAGCATGATGGTCAAGTATTGATCTATGTGATACGGGCATGATGGTCAATTATTGATCTATGTGATACAAGCATGATGGTCAAGTATTGATCTATGTGATACGAGCATGATGGTCAAGTATTGATCTATGTGATACAAGCATGATGGTCAAGTATTGATCTATGTGATACAAGCATGATGGTCAGGTATTGATCTATGTGATACAAGCATGATGGTCAAGTATTGATCTATGTGACACAAGCATGATGGTCAAGTATTGATGGACAGACAGTCAGATATGTGATACGAGCATGATGGTCAAATACTGATAGGCAGACAGTCAGATGTGATACAAGCATGATGGTCAAGTATTGATCTATGTGACACAAACATGATGGTCAAGTATTGATGGACAGACAGTCAGATATGTGATACGAGCATGATTGTCAAATACTGATAGGCAGACAGTCAGATATGTGATACGAGCATGATGGTCAAATATTTATGTGATACGAGCATGATGGTCAAATATTGATAGGCAGACAGTCAGATATGTGATACGAGCATGATGGTCAAATATTGATAGGCAGACAGTCAGATATGTGATACGAGCATGATGGTCAAGTATTGATCTATGTGATACAAGCATGATGGTCAAGTATTGATCTATGTGATACAAGCATGATGGTCAAGTATTGATGTATGTGATACAAGCATGATGGTCAAGTATTGATCTATGTGATACAAGCATGATGGTCAAGTATTGATGGACAGACAGTCAGATATGTGATACGAGCATGATGGTCAAGTATTGATCTATGTGATACAAGCATGATGGTCAAGTATTGGACACACAGTCAGATGTGATACGAACATGATGGTCAAGTATTGATCTATGTGATACAAGCATGATGGTCAAGTATTGATGGACAGACAGTCAGATATGTGATACAAGCATGATGGTCAAGTATTGATAGGCAGACAGTCATATATGTGATACGAGCATGATGGTCAAGTATTAATCTATGTGATACAAGCATGATGGTCAAATATTGATAGGCAGACAGTCAGATATGTGATACGAGCATGATGGTCAAGTATTGATAGGCAGACAGTCATATATGTGATACGAGCATGATGGTCAAGTATTGATCTATGTGATACAAGCATGATGGTCAAGTATTGATCTATGTGATACAAGCATGATAGTCAAGTATTGGACACACAGTCGGATGTGATACGAGCATGATGGTCAACTATTGATGGACACAGTCATATATGTGATACAAGCATGATGGTCAAGTATTGATGTATGTGATACAAGCATGATGGTCAAGTATTGATCTATGTGATACAAGCATGATGGTCAAATACTGATAGGCAGACAGTCAGATATGTGATACGAGCATGATGGTCAAATATTGATAGGCAGACAGTCAGATATGTGATACGAGCATGATGGTCAAATATTTATGTGATACGAGCATGATGGTCAAATATTGATAGGCAGACAGTCAGATATGTGATACGAGCATGATGGTCAAATATTGATAGGCAGACAGTCTGATATGTGATACGAGCATGATGGTCAAGTATTGATGTATGTGATACAAGCATGATGGTCAAGTATTGATATATGTGATACAAGCATGATGGTCAAGTATTGATGTATGTGATACAAGCATGATGGTCCAGTATTGATCTATGTGATACAAGCATGATGGTCAAGTATTGATGGACAGACAGTCATATATGTGATACGAGCATGATGGTCAAGTATTGACGTATGTGATACAAGCATGATGGTCAAGTATTGGACACACAGTCAGATGTGATACGAGCATGATGGTCAAGTATTGATAGGCAGACAGTCAGATATGTGATACGAGCATGATGGTCAAGTATTGATCTATGTGATACAAGCATGATGGTCAAGTATTGGACACACAGTCAGATGTGATACAAGCATGATGGTCAAGTATTGATCTATGTGATACAAGCATGATGGTCAAGTATTGGACACACAGTCAGATGTGATACAAGCATGATGGTCAAGTATTGATCTATGTGATCCGAACATGATGGTCAAGTATTGATCTATGTGATAGGAGCATGATGGTCAAGTATTGATGGACAGACAGTCAGATATGTGATACGAGCATGATGGTCAAGTATTGATCTATGTGATACGAGCATGATGGTCAAGTATTGGACACACAGTCAGATGTGATACGAGCATGATGGTCAACTATTGATGGACACAGTCATATATGTGATACGAGCATGATGGTCAAGTATTGATCTATGTGATACAAGCATGATGGTCAAGTATTGATCTATGTGATACAAGCATGATGGTCAAGTATTGGACACACAGTCAGATGTGATACGAGCATGATGGTCAACTGTTGATGGACACAGTCATATATGTGATACAAGCATGATGGTCAACTATTGATGGACACAGTCATATATGTGATACAAGCATGATGGTCAACTATTGATGGACACAGTCATATATGTTATACAAGCATGATGTCAAGTACTGATGGACGCAGAGATATGTGATACAAGCATGTGTTTATGCACACGTGGTAACTCAAAGAGACCCTCTGTGAGAGGTGGATTGAGATATTGCGCCAATATCAGGAATCGAATCGAACGAACGAAGCAATCACCACGCTATCCAATGTGATGTATATGCACCTTGGCGTGTACCCAGCTTCCATCCAAACCCATACACCCCCACCCCCTCCCCTAGGCACCCCACCTTACAAGGGACGGTCCATAATTTATTGCTGGGGGTGATGATATATATTATTATTTTTTTATTATTATTATTTTTTTATTTTTTGGGGGGGGGGTCACCCATTTCGTTTTGGGGAAGGGGCGCATACATTTTGTACACATATACTAGGGCGCGTGTCATTGATTTTGTACATGACATGCATAGGGGGTCACTTACTTTGTACATAAAATTTAGGAGGAGGGTTGTTGTTCACATTGTACACGCTTCGCCATAAAAATCATCATCACCCTCTTAGCCATAAATTATGAACGGCCCCTAAGATGCAAAACTGAAAAAAACCCTGAAAGAACCAAAACCATTTACACCTGTACTATGTTTACCAGCAACACTGCTTTCCCACTACAAATCGGCAGACGTGCATGACCCCGAGTGTTTTCTGCTGGCACATTGTACATAACATCAGCCGCCGCTGAATTAACTCTTCACACCAGCATGCACGGCATGTGTTTGCACTGGCGTTAGAGTATATTTAACTAAAGGCCTGCCCACGACAACAGCAGGTTAAAAAGGCGACAACATTTTGAACAACACACTCCTAAGCCAAGAAACACTTGCCACCTGTGGCCAATAATGCGTTCTGCGAGTGTACCAGCTAACATCCAATCAAAACACTCGTTACATTTAGCCCGCGGTGACCTACTTTTGAGATGTATAAAACTTGACGTCTATGGCTAGGCGTTCATTTTCGTCAGACCTGCCGACTCACTGTAGATCTTTATGTCTGTGTGAGAACAGGATTTCTGCAACGGTTTAAATACCCACTCCAAGGATTTCTCTTTAAACTGCAATATGGTGAGTAACGACTTAAGTCCAATGGGTATTTTGCTCACTGTCTCCTAAAGATATACTCTGGATTTATGCAAGTAATATCATCAGTATAATTTATTGAAGAAGAATGTTGCAGTGTCACAATTAGATATCTATTGATCGTTGATGATCAAAACGGATGACAATGTTTTACATTAGGAATGTCTTTTCAATTTCAGTACATGGTATACTTGTATTTGAAAACATTTCACAGTTTTTGCAATAATGTATGTCAAAGCATCAACGTCCTAAGGGACCCCCGCCTGGCGATGTCAGAGACTCGAAATTTCCCGGATGAACAGAAATCATTATTTTAAATTTTTGTGTTTACGCCTACTCTCGTTTATTGCATTTAGAGTAAGTTTTGGATTCTGTCAAAATTCAAAGGTATCAACAGGTATTTAAATTCGTTGTGATGTCTCAAGATAATTTATGCACATATATTCCATTCTGCATTTATCACGATATTATTCATTTCTTAAATGTATAATTTCTAAAAAAAACAATTCTGCCGGGTTTTTTCATTGGTTAAATATCGATGTGGTAATGTTAATATACCCATTTATGACGTCACCGCATAAGCAACATAGAATATACGTTCAGTGATGGTTACGGCGTTTGTGGTGTCATTGTCCCAAGATGCATCAGTGAAAGACGTTTCCCAATGTTGTACCGTTGATGCCTTGTGTGGTTGAATGAATATGCGCGGAACTCAACGATTCCAATGACGAATGAGGGGCACGGATGGCCCAGTCGTTTAGAGCTGCGCAATTAGATACATCCGGAGTTATGTCCCTTCAATGTGTTTGCGGATCGTGATCGTGGTTTCGAATCCCGGTTCGTGCTGATCAGTTTAAAGGTAGGCCAGCACCATATCCGTGTGTTGCAGAGTTGGGGCACCCCCTTGGGGCACCCCCAGAAACCTGTGCCCCTAGGTTTGTCAGCGCAATACCCAAGCTTGTGGGGTTCAGAGACCAGAACCATGAGTTGTCTATCCCATGCCAAATGTGTTATTTGAGTAAAGTACTGTTGGAAGCCAAGTGTTGAACAATATCAATCACTATAACGCATTTTGTACGCTTTTGTGCACAAAACGTTACTATATTTGGAGTAACCTACTACAGAGCCTCTACCAAAGATGTTATGATGATGATGATGATGATGATGATGATGATGATGATAATGATGATGATGATTTGGAGATGTAACGTGCGCTTTCCGAAATAATGCGTATTTGCACACGTTCCTGCCAGGCCATTTACAGGTTACATGATAGCCCTGTATTCCTATACAACTGGCTCTCGCGAGATCTCGCCCCAAACGTTACTCACAGTGAAGTGACAGTCGTCTGCTTTTCTCTTTATATGAGAATAAATGATCAATAGTTGACTTCAACTATGGTAGTGGTCTGTTCACGAGGCTGTAAAATGGCTGAATTGTCGAATACCTAATAACTGCAGGAATAACTGTTCCGTCAAACAATCACAGTGGCACTGATGTAAATATCATCCGGTACATTGATGTTTCTGTTCAGTCGAGATAGTAATCATTTTTTTTTTGTATCATACGATTGCTTTATTTCTGATCTGTAGAACATATTGCGATTTGTCCGCCTAGCGGAAGAACGATGTCAGACTGAGCACAATCACCTGACCCGTTACGAAGATCGATCTGTCTACTTCGAATTAATATCCCTGGCTTACATAAATATACTGACGAGCAAAAGATCGTATACACCAATGTTTAACGATGGATATATAGGGAAGAAACAAGAGCCAGTTATTCTATGGGGTTGTATTTGATATTGGCACCACAGTTGTGTTTTGAGCCTTAGTGAGAGAGTTTAGTTTTACCCCGGTTTTAGCAATATTCCAGCAATATCACGGCGGGGGACACCACAAATGAGTTATATTGTATCCATGAGGGGATTCGAACCCGGATCTTCGGCGTGACGAGCCAACGCTTTAACCACTAGGCTACCGTCCCTTATACTCTGGTAATAATTTACCTCTCAGCTTAGAGTGTCTGTTGCTTCTGTTCTACAGTCTACCACAGACACACCATTGATGATAGTTTGCAGGTATAATAGTGCCATAACATAAGAGGGCTTCGGTACTCACAACTTTGCTGCTTGAACGAACATGATACCCCACAGACCCCTTTTGGGCCTTAGGTCAGCATTATGCCGGCGACCGTTATCCGCCTTAAGTTATGAGGTCTGTAATTTTGGGGTCAAATAGAATTTTTAAGTGTATACTTTCTTCAGCCTGGTGGTTTATATTCGTAATCCTTTTAAACAAATGTTGAAGCATGCTGTTGCACATTACGCGAGTGTTTGCCTGTTGTGGTCATCAAATATTCATCAAGCCCCATCCATCCATTGTCAGAACCTGTCGTCTCAAGCACTCCACAGAACTAGTTGCACTGCATTGCAGATTTCACGATTTATGGTTACCATGGCAACCTGCAGTCGTAACTGGTGGCACCAGACTGTATTCGGTTATTGGTTAAAAGACTCTTCAGCAACACGTCCCCTAACACCAGAACACGGAATTTCAGACACAAGAATAACGTTATCCCCCCCGACCCCCATCCACCGATAAATCAGTTCAGGGAGGTGTCCTCGACATGTATTGTTCCATCAGTTAATTATGACGCCTGTAAACAAACTACGAATCTGTTCGGGAGAGCGTGGAGCTAGTGTTGGATCGATACTGAGAGAAGCGATCGCTCTGTGCTCCTGGTTGTGGACTGAACGTATTTAATCCATGTAGTGTGAGTCCAGTGTGTGTGTTAGTGAGTGAGGTGGGTTTAACGCCGCTTTGAACAGTACTTCTGTTACATAACGCTGTGTACCCGTGAAAATGCGGGTTAGAGTTTGTCTTCAGCAACCAGTGCTTGTCGTAAGAGGCGACGAACTGGATCAGGTAGTCAGACCGTACTCAGCAATATTCCAGTTATATAGCGGCAGTCTGTAAATAATCGTGTGCGGATCAGACAATCCAGTGATCAACATCATGAGCATCGATCTACGCAATTGGGATACGATGACATGTGTCAACCAAGTCAGCGAGCCTGACCACCCGATCCCGTTAGTCCCCTCTTACGACAAGCATGGGTTGCTGAAGATCAACTGTAACCCGGATCTTCCCTTGTAAATATTTGACACTTCAAGGAAGTAATGAGTGAATGACTGTTTCACGCCTCTTGTAGCAATATTCCAGCAATATGACGATGAATGACGCCAGAAAAATGGCTGAATATACTGTAACATGGGAATCGAACCCGGATGTTCGGCGTAACGGGCGGAGGCGTTATCCACTTATCGCTCCGATAATCTTGAATGAATTAAGGAGGGGATATTATAAACGCAGTTGGGGACGTACAGATTATTTTTAATAATCCTTTCTAATTTATTTTGACAATATGATAGGAATAAGGAAATATCGATTTTGAAAGTTAAAACAGATTTGATCGGCCGTGCAGAATGGATAGCGAGTAAGGGATGAGATGAGATGTGACTATATTTGATTATATGTCCGCGGCACTAATGACAAAGGGAAGGGGAAAAGTGATAGTAATTACTTAATAACCATAATTCTGAACAGTTCTACACTTCGCAGCCAGCAGAAATAAATAATTAAAAGAATATTTCTATAACGTAATAACCAACCACCACAGGCAGCCAAACATGTCACCATGACCCGGAGATGTTTTGTCTGCACTATTCAGCTATATGGCGGCGGTCTGTGTGACTGAGTTCAGTTAAGCCGCTTTTAGCAATATTCCAGCAATATAATATCACGGCGGGGGACACCAGAAATGGGCTTCACGGATTGGATCCACGTTGGGAATCGAACCCGGTACTTCGGCGTGACGAGCGAACGCTTTAACCACAAGGCTACCCTACAATATCTGACAATATTCGTCAATATTCAATTGATCACTGGATTGTCTGGTCCTGACTCCATTGTTTACAGACCGCCGCCATATAGCTGGAATATTGTTGAGTGCGGCGTAAAACAACAACCAAAACCAAAAGCTTGATCACCCTATCCCGTCAGTCGCCACTTATGGATTGTTGAAGATCAATTCTAACCACAGATGAGAACGCGTGGGTCTGATGAATTACTTTTACACTGAATCCACTTAAAGATAACACCGCTTCGAATTTTGGTTTGACAGCAGAATAAAATACCTCATCACTTAACACGCCTAGATATAAGCATTTGCATATTCTACGCAGATACGCAGCTTATCTTGTGCTTTTTGTTCCATATTCAGTTGTTCGCTAGGTGATGAGTTTAATTTGGCTGGCAAATATGTTCTAAAAATTGAAATATTTGTTTTCAGCGTGAATGTATCAGCGTCCATATCGGCCAGGCTGGAGTCCAGATCGGCAATGCATGCTGGGAGTTGTACTGTCTGGAGCACGGCATCCAGCCTGATGGTCAAATGCCCGCGGACAAGACCATCGGGGGTGTGGACGACTCCTTCAACACCTTCTTCAGCGAGACGGGGTCGGGGAAACACGTGCCCAGGGCAGTGTTTGTTGACCTGGAACCCACAGTTGTAGGTTAGTTGTAGCGAAGTTTTAGAGAATTCTGTATCTTTGGTATCTGGCGTGATTGTCGAAAGCGCTGTCTCCTCTTAATGGAAGTAAGGAAAACGCACTTCATCACACACAGAGACACAGAAAGATAGACACACACACACAAACACACACTCTCTCTCTCTCTCTCTCTCTCTCTCTCTCTCTCTCTCTCTCTCTCTGTTAGACACACACACAGAGGAACAGACACACCTACAGACACAATTACATGGACACGCAAATACAGAGAGAAAGACTGACACGCATACACACACATGCGCAGAGACAGACAGCCACATACACACAGAGAGAGTGAGAGAGAGAGAGGCAATTAGACACACACACACCAACACGCACACAGAGTTGTTCTACACTGTCAGTGAAACACACATTTGAGAAGGGTACGCCGGGATCCAGTAAGACATAGAAGACACACCGATGCCATGATTTCACAAAGTTTTCTTAAACCTGAACAGGCTACGCAGATAACATCTCAACAAGCTCACGCTCTATTTTATATCTGAATTATTAATGCCTAAAATGCGTCATTGAGATTTAAGTTCTTTTAGCTTACATAACGAGCACACCACAAAACGATGCCAGCAGACGAGATTTGTAGGGTCTGTGACGCCATATTGGATTTTCGCTTCATATCGATCACAATGGCCCCTAATTGTTTCGGTTTGAGGACATTGCTTCGGTGATCCCTCACGATATCAGTTGCGCTTCAGACCACACAGGGCTGAAATGATTGATATTAGAAGAGGTGTTCTCTCAAAGTGAGATATTCCCTGAGGCGAGGTCGAGATGTGTTTCGGGCACCCACTAAATGAACAACAGTCATGTAATTACGTGTCCATTCATGATTATTTCAACGGTCCTTAACAGTCTTAACGACCGCAACCTTTCTAATTTGATAAGTGAATATTTACTTTGGGAAAGGAAGCTATGCTTGGTCCATAAAGTATTCCTTTGTGACGGTGCTGTATCGAACCTGTTCCAAAGATGGAAGTTATATACTCTTGCTAGAGTGTTGGGGAGTCTCCTCTGAATCGGTATTAACAGTGTGTCGATTCACACACCAAGTAGAAGAAGGATTTCTACTTGACGAATAACGGCCTATGTTTAATTCATTTCCAGCTATCTTATATTCAGTATAAGTTATCTTTAAAATGATTGCAAATGTCAGTAATTTCTAACGGCTTGCCATATTGGCACAAGATATAAATCAATATTATCAAACAAGATAATTTCAGGTAACACAGGTAGTTGTAATAAATTGTGACCAGTGCCACAAACGGGGTGACATGAAAAATACACTTGCCAAAACAATACCCAATATATAATATCCACCCCCATCCCCATGCCCACCTACCCACCAACACCTAATTTGTATCTCACGTGACTAGACCTTTCTCTTCGTCTGAGATCCGCTATTCGCTGTGCAGATCGTGTCCCTTTGGCACGCCTCGAACCTAAGAATGTGCGGTTTCCTCCCGATGATGTTTTGAGGTTTTTCAGTACAACACCCGTGAGTTGCCGAACAGAGACTTAGTTCAACAGATATTTCATACTTTCACATATTAACTACCTAAATTGCAGATATAAATGTGAAAAAGCAGTTTTTTAGAATTTTCGGCAGTACTTTAGTGACATGGTTTGTGTATTTCAGATGAGGTCCGTACCGGCACCTACCGCCAGCTGTTCCACCCCGAGCAGCTCATTACCGGCAAGGAGGACGCCGCCAACAACTACGCCCGTGGCCACTACACCATCGGCAAAGAGATCGTAGACCTAGTCCTTGACCGTATCAGGAAGTTGGCTGACCAGTGCACTGGACTCCAGGGCTTCCTGCTGTTCCACAGCTTCGGTGGCGGCACCGGCTCCGGCTTCACGTCTCTGTTGATGGAGAGACTGTCCGTCGACTACGGCAAGAAGTCCAAGTTAGAGTTTTCTGTCTACCCCGCTCCCCAGATCTCTACTGCAGTCGTGGAGCCCTACAACTCCATCCTGACCACCCACACCACCCTGGAACACTCCGACTGCGCCTTTATGGTCGACAACGAGGCTATATACGACATCTGCCGCCGTAACCTTGACATTGAACGTCCTTCCTACACCAACTTGAACCGCCTAATTGGTCAGATCGTCAGCTCCATCACTGCCTCTCTCCGTTTCGACGGTGCCCTGAACGTGGATCTGACCGAGTTCCAGACCAACTTGGTGCCCTACCCACGTATCCACTTCCCTCTGGCTACCTATGCCCCAGTTATCTCCGCCGAGAAGGCCTACCATGAGCAACTGTCTGTGCCCGAAATTACTAATGCTTGTTTCGAGCCCGCGAACCAGATGGTGAAATGTGACCCACGTCACGGCAAATACATGGCTTGCTGTCTATTGTACAGAGGTGATGTTGTCCCCAAGGACGTCAACGCTGCCATAGCCACCATCAAGACCAAAAGAAGCATCCAGTTCGTCGACTGGTGCCCTACTGGGTTCAAGGTTGGCATCAACTACCAGCCTCCAACAGTTGTCCCCGGAGGTGACCTGGCCAAGGTCCAGAGAGCCGTCTGCATGTTGAGCAACACCACCGCCATCGCCGAGGCCTGGGCTCGTCTTGACCACAAGTTCGATCTGATGTACGCCAAGCGTGCCTTCGTCCACTGGTACGTGGGTGAGGGTATGGAAGAGGGAGAGTTCTCCGAGGCCCGTGAGGACTTGGCTGCCCTGGAGAAGGACTACGAGGAGGTTGGAGTCGACTCCATGGAAGGAGAAGCAGAAGGAGGGGATGAATATTAATTGTTGGAAAAGGTTGTGACGTATACATTCTTCCATATTGCAATGCCGGGTAGTCCACAGTATACGTCCGGTTAACCCAAATGTAGGTCAATCATTCCTCAATCATCCAGTGTATTGCGTTTCCATTCGATTATGATACACCCGCGAAGATCCGGGTTAGAATTGATCTTCAGTGACCCATGCTTGTCGCATGTGACGACTAACGGGGTAGGGTTGTCAGGCTGGCTGACGTGGTTGACACATGTCATCGCATCCCATTTGCGTAGATCGATATATACCTTGGACCAATTCACCGTGTTGGTTTAACCTAATGTTTCACTTTAAACGACACTATATATAAACGTTCAACTAAACAGCTCAGCTTGAGCTCTACAATGCTCTACAGCTCAACCTGAGCTCTACAATGCTCTACAGCTCAACTCTACAATGAGTTAAACAAGAAACGGTGTCAGCAGTTCTCGTCTCAGTTTTTAGGTGTCGTCACAGATTCAACCGGAAGGTAGGCATTGGAGGTTCCCTCCAAAATCTTCCAGCTTGAACATCGTTTGTAACAGTGTGCGAAATGTACGCTGGTCCTGTGGTCCCTGGATAGTGAAAATTCATCAGGACCACTAAATGATAAATTTGCAGTGGTCCTGGGTGCCAGGGATTTTGTATTGAACGTTAAGTTATCTACAAATGTTAGCTTGGACCAGTGAAGTACAGACAGGACCACTAATTATTGTCCACTCAGTGGTCCTCTAGTGGGAAAGTTTGAAAGTTTTCTATCCGTGTTGCTATAGTCTTGTGAGTTGTTTAAATACACGCACTGCTGGCTCGATGAGACTTTTTTGTATTTAGTGAATGGAGGCTTACTCCGCTTTTAACAGTAAACCACTTGTATCACGTGACAACCTGACGTAGGAGGAAATCCTGACGCGATGCATGCCTCAGGTTATAACACTTGTAAAACACACGAGCACGGTTCAATCTATGTGTTTTGTCAGATTATTTATCAAAACAAATGTTCTAGATTTAGTTTTTTTTTTTTATAGTGTTGCGATAATCACATTTACTGTAGGGTATACGTTACGATCACTCTTCCACTATACTCGGAACCTGGATGCTTTAGTTCGAGACATCAGTATGGCTTCGGGTATACGCGATGATTGGGGCGATTTTTGACCTCCCTTGGCTGGCTCCGCATTCTCACAGTAGCCAATCAGCTAAGCCGCCGTTACAACCGAGCTTGCCAGTGTCAACAAAGATTGCGGTCGCAGTTGCAAAGGTTTGTTCGCAGTGCCACTCAGATTTTTGGGGAAATAATAAAGACAAATTCACAGATCTGAAACTTTAAAAAGAATATATGAAAGAACTCCTTCTACTTCTTTCAGAGTACCTCTGCATCAATTGTGTTGCCAAGTTTAAACGGTTAGATAATTTAAGACGCGAAAGTGAGTAGTGATTGGTACGCTCAACTTCCCAGCGTAGACACCTGATTGGATAAAAAAAACAGCAAAGGGAGGTAATAAAATCATCGCCCCAAGCCGTGGATGCATCCAGGGTATAGTGGGGGGTGATCGTAACGTATACCCTGGAGATTATCGAGGATGGTATTATCCCGTAAAGTGCGCTATTGAGGAGCATAACGTCTCCTTTAGTTACAGGATTATATTCATTTCAGGCTTTGCTTCGAGACTTGGGCGGTGGGCTGGCGCAATGGTTAAAGCGTTCGCTCGTCACGCCGAAGGCCCGGGTTCGATTCCCCACATGGGTACAATGTGTGAAGCCCATTTCTGGTGTCCCCCGCCGTGATATTTCTTAAACATTGCTGAACGCTCATGTCAGTCACTGGATTATCTGGCATACTTTGTTGGTTGTTGTTTAACGCCGCATTCAGCAATATTCCTTCTGTCTGTAATAAATAATCGATTCTTGACCAGACAAGCACTTTGGATACGATGACATGTGTCAACCAGGTCAGCGACCAAGCGACCCTGCTCACCTCTTACGACAAGCATGGGTTGCTGAACACCAATTCTAACCCCGTCCACAACGGTGCTTCCGTGGTGCTTGAGGGTTCATGAGTGCAAATGGTATTGCTTCTTAAACACTAAGAACATAAACGTCCATCCCATCATGTGTCATGCAAAACGGGCCTGAAACCGCGGATGTTTAATTCTTGGACCGTTATAGGACGCACCAGTCCTACAATAATAATAGAGTTCCCTAAAGGGATTCCTGGTCCTTTCAGCAACCTGCCGCCAAAGGGGACCAAACGGATCGGTGATTAGGTTCGCTCACTTCTTTGACTATCATAGTATCCCATGCTTGGATCGATGGTCAAGATGTTATGATTCAATCATTACATATCGTTCTAATATAGGTAATATTTGCCATTTGTGGAACATTTAGTGCCTCAAAAAGGTCATAGTCTTGTCAGTATAAGAGATACTGGATCGCATATTATGTTACTTTCACATGTGCCTCTCCAGAGAATCGGTATGTAAGTGCAGTGTGGCAGAAGTTCTGCGATAGATGCGCTGCTGAAGACATCACTAATGAACAGAAAATATCTTCGTGTATCAAAGTTGTCAAGGCGTGTAATTATGGCCAGGCTGGTTCTAAGTTCATATATAGACTTTCAGCTAAAGTAATAGTTATGAAAACACAAGATTACATGATTCCTTTTGACGTAGTCTGACGTTGCAGTTAGAGAGGTTAAGTTGTTTGTTGGTGAAGGCAACGTAGTGGTGATTTCATTCAAGAATGAAATGCTGTTCGTTTGGAACCTCCGGCAAATACGACCACCTCAAAACAAAGCGTCTATATTTCGTGTTTTTGTGGTAAATATTTTATTGTATATCGACAGTGAAGGAATTCAAAAAGGAATGAAATCCTTACAAACCACATATCCGTTTTCACAAGACAGCGCAATTAGCAAAAGTGTTCAAAGCGTCCGTACAATCTTTAGTTATTGGAAGGAACCGAGCCGTTGGTACTTTTCCAACAGGATGAGCGCTCATAAGCGAGGCTTAGTCTACCCTACAAATAGTTACTGCTATTCCTGCGACTACTACTACTACGACTATTACTACTACTACTACTGCTGCTGCTGCTGTTACTACTACTACTACTACTACTACTACTACTACAACTACTACTACTACAACTACTGCTCCTACTACTTCTGCTGCTGCTGCTGCTGCTACTACTTCTACTGCTACTACTACTACTGCTACTGCTACTACTACTACTACTACTGCTACTACTACTGCTACTGCTACTACTACTGCTACTACTACTGCTACTACTACTGCTGTTGCTACTACTGCTACTTCTACTGCTGTGTTAGAATTGGTCTTCAGCAACTAATACTTGTAAGATACGACTAATGGGGGTGGGATGGGGGTGGTGGAGGGTTTGGGGTCAGACTCGCTGACTTGATGATTGTCAGTGTTTCCAAATTGCTCATTAGTTTGATGCTCATGTTATCATTCACTAGATTATCACATGATTATTTACAGACCGCTGCCATAAAACTGGAAAATCGCTGAGTACGGCGTTAAACACCAAACAAACAAAATAACACTACAAAACTACAGCTTTTTCGATCGCAGCCTGGTTTGTTCTTGACCTGAGGTTAATCTATGATACAAAGATAAATCAAGAAAAGCTTGCATTCATGTTCTCTAATCACGCTGGAAGGTTCGGAGTTCACTGTGTAGAGTTGCGTTCCTTGGGATTGCCAGGATCCAATGGTGGGGTTCGAATCCCAGTGTCGCCCTGTTTCTTAAACTTGGTTTTTCAGCACCATTACTGTGATTTAGGTTACAAAAACCTGTACCACTTTGTGTTTCTCTCCTACATGAGACTTTCACGTTAGACATAAGAAAAACGGTTCAGCCTTGTCACTGTGACAGAGTATACTCCTCGGGGCCGTATCGTGTCAATACGTGTTGCTGTGTATCGCTCATGTGATAACTGTTATCTACAGGCTAGGTGTGGGATCCGTGAAAGTTCCAGAACTAAACACGTGAGCTGTGTTTACACATTTATCTCTGTGTCCACATGTGTCCAGTGTTCAAGAACGAGGTCTGTTTGTATAGCCAAGGCTATATAAGTTACCGTCAATCACGTTGTTTTTAATATGAAACATTCTTTCAATGGCAACTTCAAGTAAACTATTGCCCATTTAAGTGATAGCCAGGGCCAAGGCTTGTATGTCTTATGTCAAATGTAAACACCAGCTTCAATAGGTCAGTGGGTCTGTGTATACTGACAATGTGATAAGGAGTTAAAGAACACGTGCTTTATGCTTATGTCACTCTGACTGCGCACTTTTGTGAAACTGTAACCGAATTGTATGCGCTCTTGTGGCATTTTGAGTACTTGTATCTCTTAGTATCTCCGTGTCCCCTCAATGACGAATGCAGCTATTAGGGGTGGGTATTGCAGAGAATTTTCATATTGCGATGCGAAAGTATATATTGCGATGTAAAAAAATACTTATCGTGAAGTTAATGCTTGACTTGTAAGGCAAAAACACAACAAAATCACTATGCTTGATTAAGCTTTGACAAAAACTTATAATTATGACAAAAAAATAATATTTGTCACAAATGAAACAAGGAAAAGAACAATTTAGCATCAAGACAGTGGCTGCTAGTTTGAACTACTTTCTCTAGTCTCAAAAAAGCCCTGAGATTTTAGACAAGAACATGACCTGGTCAGGACATATCAGAGATCACTGGTCGTTAATGAGTAAATATTTAAAACATTCAGATTTAAAATATTGCGAAGCACTTGAACAGATATTAACAACACAACTTCAAACCGAACTTAACTTACGTGTGTTACGAAGTTTTCCGAATGCATTTGAAATAACGGTTTTCGATCAGCGTATCGCAATACGTATCGATTTCATGTCTGAACCGGTAAATACCGGTAAACCGGTTACATTGCGAAGCCCTAGTAGCTATTCAGTCATCTCTTTAATAAAGTCTAGTCCGCCTTTACTGCAACCTTGTTCGCCTGTAGTGCAGCTTATACGCCTTTAGTGTAGCTTCATCCGCCTTTGATGCAGCATCGTCAGCCTTTAATGCAGCCTTAGTCGCCTTAAATGCACTATTCATTCCGCCTTAAATGCAATCTAGTTCGCCTTTAATGCAGCCTAGTCCCCCATTACAACAGCATAGTCCACCTTAATACAGTCAGACCCGTGAAGATCCGGGGTAGAATAGGTCTTCAGCAACCCATGCTTGCCACAAAAGGCGACTATGCTTGTCGTAAGAGGCGACTAACGGGATCGGGTGGTCAGGCTCGCTGACTTGGTTGGCACATGTCATTGGTTCCCAATTGCGCAGATCGATGCTCATGCTGTTGATCACTGTATTGTCTGGTCCAGACTCGATGATTTACAGACCGCCGCCATATAGCTGGAATATTGCTGAGTGCGGCGTAAAACTAAACTCAATCACTCACGTATACAGTCCACTCAGCCTTCAATGCTGCCTGGTCTGCCTGTATTGCAGCTTTATCCGCCTTTGATCCAGCATAGTGCCCCTTTAAAGGTCACATGCAACGTAAAACACAACTTTGCAGATTCTGATACCTTTCGGTATGGACATACCGAAACAAATCGTCAAAAATGCAAATTCAACTTATAAAGTTGAAAAATAACGCGATGAAAAAAAACGCGCGAAATCGGAGTTCAAACGTTTCACTAATTTTCCCCAGACCTTTCTGGGGAAAACGGGTTTCAACAGCTGCATGACTGCGCTCATAGAACGTGCGCAAGTAAATAGGTTCGCGCAGCTTGGAAGCGGGTTGTCGGGTGAA